ACCTCTTGCCTGTGGTAAGAGGTGTTCAGAAAGCCATGGTACCGTTGCCGCAGGGCCTGGCCCAGCTCCCAGTGCTGTAGCATCCCTTCCTGTGGGCAAATCTGAGAGTTAAGACAGTCCAAAGAGCTGGTCATGGTGGCCCAAGCCTTTAATCCCAATAGTCACTCTCTGAGTTCAAGGCCAGCCTGGTCTACAAAGTAAATCCAGGATAGCCAGGGCTCTGTTACACAGGGAAACCGTCTTAAGCCTCCCCCATGACCCCCACCCCCGCCAAAAAAATAAAAGTTCAAAGGGAAGGGATCAGCCACAAAACCTATGGCATTTAGGCATTCTTCCCTTGGCAAGGAGTGAGTTTGATTCCAGAAGTGGCCAGTTGTGAATGATGCTGTCCTGGGCACAGAGTTAAGAAATCTGGTCCTAGCCAGAGATGTAGCTCACTGTGCTTAGCATAGACAAGGTCCTAGGTTTAATTTCCAAAACCACAAAAACAAAACAACAAAATAGAGATCTGGTCCATCAGAACCCATGTGGGAAACTAGCAGTTTAGGTAGTCCCAGTTTCTGTGCTCCAGATGTGATTCATTCTGTAGCATATCCTGAGACCTTGCAGGTTGGCTTCTGACCCACCTTGGTTAACTGACCAAATCCCTGGGGCCATTTCTCTTCCTGATAGGGGTCCTTGGGATAGGTCTTCACTGGTGACCGATCTCCATGTCGATACAGCTGAGCAAAGAAAATGGTTCATCTACAGAATCAGAAGGGTCTTCTAGTTAAGGACAGGACCCACCTCCACACATGTCAGGAAAGGAAACCTCACTCCATCTTTCTCTACTAAGCAAAGAAAAAAGACCCCAGTTTGGGCCATGCAATGTAACCTGAAATAACAGGTAAAGCTCAAAAGCACAGGTAGAAAAGTAGTGAAAGCAATGCCTCCTGGGGGAGGAAGTGGGCAATGAGACTGGGAAAACAAAGATCAAAGTCGTCTTTAGGGATGACTTTCAACCTTTTACCTAAATTCCCATCCTAGGGAAAAATCATCCCAGGAAAGAATATCTCCTAACATTACTCGGTCGTCCTGCCCTAAAAAACAGCCTAGGGCTCCAAATCAATTCTGAATCCAGCTGCACAACCCGCTATGGGCCAGCTGCTTCCTAAACCAGTTCTTTCTCCTCCTTGAGACGTGAGACCCCCTCACCCCCCACCCCCACCCCCACCCCAGAATACAAGCTCTGCCCCTCCCTCTACCAGTCAGCCTTTGCCCTTTCAGCTTTGGGGAACCCGTTGGTGACTCCGTCACCCATTACCAAGGTAACAAAGCGCAGACTCCGGGCCTGTATAGGTGGCATCACCGTTAGGCACATGCTAAGAAGGATCTGGAGAAGAGCCGCCTGGCTCCAACCAGACTGTCTGCCGGCCATCACCGTTGTAGGCTGTGCAGCAAGAGGCCGGAACGTCTTGGGCGGTACCTGCTGCAGCCGCCCGGATGCATTCGTAAGGACACTTGCCGGAAGGGCAGACTTCGCCATCTTTCTATGGGGTGCGGGAGACCGGGTTGAGAAAGTCTGGTGGAAGAAGGCGGAATTTGGGAGGGAATGCAAACGAGGAAGGTTTGCGATTGCTGGTGATGAACGAGTGTGGGACTGTAGCGCGATCTTCCGGGCAAGAAAGGCTTAAAGACCTCGTTTTTTGTGGAGGCTCTAGGTCAGACTTACCTCTTCGGCTACCAGGCTGGTGCTTGCCCTGCGTGGGATCTGGGTCTGCAGAGCGAGTGCCTTCTCTGAAGAGTGCTTCTGAGAGTGATCCCAGAGCCTCAGCTGGTGCAAAATTGGGGCAAGGTGTGGGGAAGTATAGAGACTTTCTACTCTTATGTATGTAGTTTGGCTTTAGCCTTGGCTCAGGCAGTGTTCCTCTAAGCGGTATTGTTTGAGATATAGGGCACTACGTGTAAACAGCCCTTTGGACTCCCTGTGTCCTTGAGGTAGATGCAGTCTAGTCTACCATTCACGTCTTAAACAAACCTTCTCACTCCTCAGTTTTTCAGCCCTTTCCTTGTGCTTATCGATTTCTAAATTAAATGAGTCTCAAAATGTCATGCTTCCTTTCAGAGGAGTTGGATTGTGTAGGATGTGCGGATTTCCCAAACCCACTACATTGAATTCCTATGGCAGGAATTTCAGATAGCTGCATGAATTTTGATGCAGGCATATAACTATGGAATAGCCACAGAATTCGAGTTCCTCTAGACATTAGCCTTTAGGATTTAGAGGCAGGCAGGCAGCCAGTCTGACCTCTGGATGTTGTGACTCCAAACCTAAGAATGACATATAGTTGCAGGTCAGATCTTGGGCCCTTGATATGCTTTAATGGAGATCTATCCTCAGATTATCTGCAAACAAATCTGTTCAGAACTATCTGTTACTGTTCGAGGACTCCAGATAACATTGTGTACCTTACTGCCTAAACGTTACTTCCAAAGTTACTTTGACAAAGACTGAGGAGTAAGCAGAATAAGAAGGCTTGAAAACTAAATAGTTTTAAACTTAAAAACAAACAAACCTATGCGGTACACGTCTTTAGTCCCAACACTTGGAGAGGTAGGTAGATGTCCGAGTTGTATGTAGGCCAGCCTAGTCTATAGAGTGAGTTCTAGGACAACCAGAGATAAACAGAGAAATCCTGTCTGGAAAAAAAAAGAAACAAAAAGTATTTTATTTTCTTTTTTTTCTTTTTTTTTTTTTTTGGTTTTTTGAGACAGGGTTTCTCTGTATAGCCCTGGCTGTCCTGGAACTCACTCTGTAGACCAGGCTGGCCTTGAACTCAGAAATCCACCTGACTCTGCCTCCCAAGTGCTGGGATTAAAGGCGAGTGCCACCACCACCCGGC